AAAAAATYATTTTTCTCTGAGCAACACTGCCCCATCCTGARGTGCTAATGAAATATCCTTGCAGTCCAGACAGAGAACAGCCCRCGTGTGGCCCAAGTTGGAATAACGAGATGCAAGCCTGAAATGAAGGACTACTGCTTCCATGGGCAGTGTGTGTACATCGTGGACTTGGATGAGCACTACTGCAGGTATGGACAGCCCCACTCATCCTGCACATGTCCCTTTGAAGGGAAGTTGGATCTCACTGCCATTGACACTTAGCTGTAACACCAATCCAGCCGAGTATTAAATGCTCACAAGAGCGTGAAGCAGAGCACTGTGTCTATAATGCTCAGCTGCATTTAAGTAAGTGTTAAGCACACATGCTGCCTGCAGTGAAATCTCTGTCAGAGTCTCAGACACTTGAAATTAGTGACCAACTAATTAGTGACAACTTAGACTTGGGACATTCATTCTGATGTGCTTCCCTGTCCATCTGTATTTGTCATAGTGTGAGATCTCTCCTTTGTTCCAGCCCCCCAAATATAGACCCTGCTGACATTTTTAAGGGTGTTGCTCATTTACCTGAACAATTTGCAACCGTCTCTAGGACTGTGTGGGCTTGATCTACAAGCTACATCTGTTCAAACATCTTGTCCCTGAGCGAACTGCAGGCCAGCAGCACGGGGTGCTCTGTGGGCTGCTGAGGTGTAACCCCACAGGCATGTCTCTGATTGTGTTCTGTCACCCTCAGGTGTGACGTGGGCTTCTCGGGAGTGCGGTGTGTGCACTCGGAGCTGGTGCGGCAGCCCCTCAGCAAGGAGTACGTGGCACTGACCGTCATCGTGGTGCTGCTCTTTGTCGCCGCCATCTCTCTGGCCAGCTATTACATCTGCAGGAGGTGAGCCTCGCGTTCCTGGTGCTCGGGAGGGAGAGCAGCTGCAGTGCAGGCACCCTGTGAGTGCCTCCAGGAGCCTGGAACACCTCACTCACAGCCAGTCAATGSCAGAGCTGCTCCCCTGCGCTGGAGCTGTTCAGGACAGGCAGTGTGCTGCCAGTGCCATGGCCCCCACTGCAGGGCAGGCAGCAGCACCCCCAGGGGCTCTTCACCCTCTGCAGAGCACTCTGGAGGATGGTGCGTGYCTGGCTTAGATGGTGTGTTGAGATCAGAGACAGCAAGGAGGGAACAGGAAAATTGTGGTTCTTTCATTGGTAATGCCGTTCCCTCAATCATCAGGGACTGCAGAGCAGCTGGATTACTGCTAGCTMATTTGTTGGTCTGGTGTGTTATCAYGGTGAGTGTGTGATATCATGGGCATTGCCTTATCAGTTTATCATGGGGGACAGTACTCTGCTCCGTGAACAGACCCACAAGCAGCAGGAATCATTGTCTGGCCTAAAAACTAATGGTAAGCAGCTCAGAGAGCCAAGGAGGTGGAACAACTCCAGAGGGGAGCTCAGCTTCCCAGATGTGGTAGCTAGGTGRTAACCAGCAGGATTTCTCAAAGACAAGCCTAGTACCAGCAGGAAGACTTAAGTGCAGAAATGGAGTTGTCAGTGAAGAGAGGACAAAGGAGACTGCATTCAAGTGATGTCAGACCTGGAAAGGAGCACAGACACAGCCCAGCWGCTAGGGACTTAAAACACATGTGAGGAGCTCATAGAGCTTTTTATTGCTTCCTTCCTTTATCCCCCAGTCCCTGTCACTCCCCAAAAGCAACTGGCCTTCCAGAACTCACATTTCTCTCTTCTATTCCAGGTACCGAAACAAGAGGAGACAAACAAATGCCAGTGAATACAAGGAAGTTGGTGCCCTATAGGAGAAGCTGTGGCTTYCTGCAGTTCATCTGGATGGACTCAGTGGCTTCCCATCTATTTAAACGTTATTTTTATTAATAATATTTACAATATTTATAACCTTTTAAAAATTTCAATTGTTTGGTGATTCACTCAGCATAGGTCAAGCATTTTATTTTCAGTTCAGTGTTTTATTTTTTTATTGAATAATATTTCCTAAAGGGAACCCCACTGCAGCGGTTCTTTGGGATAGAGATATATTTTTATAAAAACTCATCTTCTTGCTCTGGAGAGAAGAATTTTATATTTATTCTTGTGAATATGCACAAAGCAACTGTATTCCTTGAAATAAAAGTTCTAGACAAAGTCCAAATGTCTGCTGACTCCAGAGAGTGGTGGTGAATGAAGCTACCTGCAGCTGGCAGCCTGTCACAAGGGATGTTCCC